AGAATAAAGCAATTTGAGAGAACATGTTTCTGAGGAAGACCAAACAATAAACATATTAGACAAAGGCTTTAAAGCAGTGTTCTTGATAACCACATGCAAAGCATAAAATTAGGCTGTTATCTCACACCATATACAAAAAGAAACTAAAAATGAATTTTAACACTACATGTAACACTTGAAACTGTAACACTAGTAAAAGAAAATATAGGAGACATTGGTCTGGACAATGATGTTTCAATATAACCCAACAGTGTAGTCAACAAAAGCAAACAGAGACAAATGCAATTATATCCAACTCAAAAGTTTCTGCATATTAAAGGAAACAATCGCCTGAGTGAAGAGAAAACCAATGGAATGGAAGAAAATATTTACAAGCCATACATCTGATAAGGTTTTAATAACCAACATATATAAAGAACTCAAATGTATCAATAGCAAGAAAACAAATACCCGAATTAAAAAGTGGGCAAAAGATCTAACTAGAGATTTCTCAAAAGAAGACATACAAATGATCAACAGTTATACAACACAATACTCAACAATACTTAATAAGCAGGGAAATGCAAATTAAAACTATAATGAGATACTACTTCATACCTGTTAGAATAGCTGTCATCAAAAAGGCAAGGGATAACAAGTCATGGACAGATGTAGAGAAAAGGGAATTTTGCACACTGTTATTAGGGATGTAAATCAGTTATAATTGTTATTGAAAACACTATGGAGGTTTCTCAAAAAATTAAAAATAGGGGTGGTGCCTGTAGTCCCAGTTACTTGGGAGGCTGAGGTAAGAGAATCGCTTAAGCCAAGAGTTTGAGGTTGCTGTGAACTGTGACACCATGGCACTCTACCCAGGGCAACAGCTTAAGACTCTGTCTCAAAAAACATAATTAAAAATAGGAACCACTGTATGATCAAACAATCCCACTACTGGGTATATGTCCAAGGGAAAGGAAATCAGTGTGTTGAAGAAATACTCGTACTTCCATATCTTTTGCAGCATTATTCACAATAGCCAAGTTTTGGGATCATCCTAAGTGTCCATCGATAGATAAATAGATAAAGAAAATGGGGTACATTTATGCAATTAAATGTATTCAGCCTCATAAAAAAAAGAATATTCTGTCATTTGTGACAACATGGATGAGCCTAGAGAACATTATATTAAGTGAAATGAGTCAGACACAGAAAGGTGGGTCCTGCATGATTTTACTTATATGTAGATGTCAAATTCAGAAGGAGATAATAGGATGGTGGTTATCAGGGGCCAGATGCGGGAAAGCTGGGAAGATGTTGGTCAAAGGATACAAAATTTCAGTTAACTAGAAGGAATAAATTAGTTCAAGACCTCTATTGTACAGCACGGTGACTATAGTTTACAATATATTCTTGAAAATTGCTAGAACTCTGTGTTCTCATTACAAAAATTAAAATATGACATAATGCATATGTTATCTCAATATGGCCATTCCAGAATGTTTACAAATTCCAAGACACATAGTACATGATCAATACTCGTATACTTTATCCATAAATACATAAGCGTAAATAAAATAATTAAACATATTTATATAGATACAGAATTAGTACCACCATGTACATCCTTATTTTTCCCTAAAAAATATGGGCAAAAAGATATGCATTATACATAGCACAATATCATACGGTAAATGGGATGGCTTGTAACTACCAGCAATTTATCACTCATCATTCTGAAGGCCAGAAAGTGGAAGACCAAAGTGCTAGCATGGTGGAGTTCTGGTGAGAGCTCTCTTTTTGTTGTGAACTACCAACTTCATCCTGTGTGCTCAGATGGCAGATGGGGTGAGTTAGCCTTCTGGAGTTCCTTTTCAAAGAGTACTAATCTTTTTTTTTTTTTTTTAAGAGAGCAGATTTAATTTAATTTATTTCTTTATTGTAGTTTTTGGTGGGGCTGGGTTGGAACCCACCACCTCCAGTATATGGGGCCGGTGCCCTACTCCTTGAGCCAAAGGTGCTGCCCAAAGAGAATACTAATCTTTTCAAGAGAGCACTATCCTTATGACCTAGTCACCTCCCAAAGACCCCATCACCTTGGGGGTTTAGATTCCATAAATGAGCATTTCCATACCTGTCAGCGTCCCACCAAAATTTAAAAAAAAAATAAGGATTTTACCTTGTTAAAAATATGTAGATATTTGAGAGGAAATGAGCAAACTTGGCCCAACTTGCTTAAGACAAATGGCCAAAATTTGTGAATTGAGTCTATTCTTAGAAGAAGGAAAATAATTAACGTTGCATATGGCTGGATGTCCTAGGAACCCAACTGGAAAATTTCCAAAAGAATTTCCTATAAAAGGAGATAATTAATGAACATAAAAGCTGAAATTATTGCGATAAAAAGAAAAGAAAAGTAGACATACTATTCTAAGAACTTAAGAAAACCTAGTTCACTGACAAGACCCAAAACATAACACTCCAAAGGGTTAAGGAAAGGAGAAAGAAAACAAGTTGGGGGTTAGAAAGAAGAGAAGGGGCAGATAAAGGTGAGCTGAAAATAATTAGAAAAGAAACAGGTAAACTGTAGTAACAAATCTTAAAATTCAGTAGGAGTGTCTTAGCTCAAAATGTGTCCCCCAAAGCTACCTCACACCTGTATATTTAGCAGGACAGTGGGATGTACGCAGCACAGGGTTTTGCAATATGCATGGGATTTGCTGCCTCTCCTGCTGAAGTCCTATTCTCATGGTTCTGTTTATTTTTCAGGAAAGAATTTCTGCTTGTAAACTGCATAGCCACTGGAGAAATGGACATCAGTATTGATACAGGAACTGAATATGCTGAGCTGGTTCTAAATGTGGGAAGAGTCATTCTTGGAGAGAAAAATAGAAACAAAATGAAAAATTGTCAACTGAGAAAGAAGCAGAATGATAATGTCTTACATGCTTTGTGTGCTCTGCTCAACTCTGGAGGGGGCGTGATCAAGGCAGAAATTGAAAATAAAGACTACAATTATTGCCGGGATGGAATAGGACTAGATTTGGAAAAGTCTTTTAGAAGTATTCGATCACCTGTATCTAGATACCTAGACGTGATGCAGAAGGGAGACAACTTTCTGATTTTCGTAAAATCACGGAGGAACTCGGAAACATCTGATCTGCGGATTATCACCTTGAACACCAATTTGTACAAAAGAGACGTAACAGCTACAGAAGCCCTGGATGCGACTGCTGCCCGGGACTTCCTCAAAGACGTGAAAAAAACTCGAGGGAGATCGTGTGTAAGACCAGGATTGCCTGCAAAGAGGGCTGGTATAGATGGAGTACAAGAAGAAAGTAACATAGAGGCTTTGGCTGATGACTTTTTCAAACGTACAGAACTTGCGCATAAAGAAAAAGTAAACTTTACCGAATCCACACATGTTGAAATGAAAGACTTCTCAACAGGAAAATGGTTACAACGAATTAAAGAGATTCTCCCTCGATATGTTTCTGCATTTGCAAATACGGATGGAGGATATTTGTTCATTGGTTTGAATGACAATATGGAAATAATTGGTGTTAAAGCAGAAATGAGTGATCTTCATAAATTAGAACATGAAATAAAAGAGTGTATTAAGAAACTGCCTGTCCATCACTTCTGTATGAAACCAAGTGAGATAAAATACTCATGCAAATTCCTTCCAGTCTGGAGTTTTTCGGAGGGCATTGAGAGAAGTCTTTGTGGATATGTCTGTGCACTCAGAGTGGAGCGATTCTGCTGTGCAGTGTTTGCGGAAAACCCTGATTCCTGGTGTGTCAGAGATGACCGTGTGAGGCAGTTCACCACGATGGAATGGATCCAGCTCATGGTGGAGGATAAGCCAGGTTGAAGAATGGGGGCTAGCAATAAAAGAGGCATTTGGTGGGGTGGCAGGAAGGTTTTTTCCATTGGATTTGGGGCAAGATCAATGGTCCTCAAGTATCAACACCTAATTTACTAATTTCTGGTGAATACAATCAATAATTCACTGCTTCTTGTTTTCTTCTACCCACTTAGAAGAAGATAAATATTCCATACAGCAAGCACATTATCTACTCTCAGTAGCCATACCTGGTGCAAAAAGCCAATTAACCCTGGATGTTCTTTCCACCACCTCTTTACGTTCTTGAAGGAAGGCCTAATTATCCAGGCCTTCTCCTTTATCTTTCTGAATCAGTTTCAGTATCTGGTCATTTCTTTCTCTCAGGAACACCTGTATCTTTTTCTTACTTGCCCTCCATCTTTTCTTACCCCCTTTCCATTTATGTCCTGTAAAACCTCTTCCCTCTTTCTTTCACATTTGTAGGCCAAAAGGTAAGATAAAAGAATAATGCTGGTGTTTTATCTGGTTTTGGAAACCAGATAAAGCCTTAAATGGAATTGGACCAGCACTAACAACTTACAAAATCTTTGAAAATGCAAGCTTCTTCCTCAGAATCTGACAAAACACAACTGTACTTTTCTAGCCATCACTTCTAATTTTAACTGCTTTTAAAATAAATCCAATTATGCAATGTATTAAATTACTACTAACACATTTTTACTGTTAATATTCATTTGAAATATAGAGTGTTTCAGCAGCACCTGTTGTGCCCAGGAGTTCCACAAAGACCACATGCCAAACAAGCCAGATTTACAGCAGAGTCTTTTTATTGAAGAGCTGGCCGGCAACTGCCTCAGTGTTCCCACATGGGGTTTCTGAGAGCAGTCCCAAGTGCTTAAGCAGTTAGGATTTTAAGGCTTGGTCTGCATCCTGGTTGGCACACAGGCTGTCCAAGTGCATTTGAGTGGGGTAGCAAGCAAGCATTGTATAGAAGCAGAATTTTGCAGTTAGCTATACGTCATACATTTTTGTTCTAATGTCCTGCCCCCCCCACCCCCGTATTTCTTAAAGGTCAGTTCGAGGACAGTTGGTACTTCCCAGTCCGTTTTTCAGGGGAGTTAGTGAAGCAAGTAGTGAATACGTTTCCATCTTTATCTTGGGAGTGAACCAGACTTACTCCATTTTGTTGAGGTCTTGCAGCCCAGAAATTACCTGGAGTTAACTGATATTTTTCCATTATAGTGTAGGCCTAACACAATAAGGGTTAATTTTACAATTTTATCTAACTTAGGAATATAGCCACAATATCGAACAATGTTTTATCAGGAAAATGGGATCAATTCCAAGTAGACTTTTGATGTACTATGAGTTAGTAAGTTGGGAGTCTGCCTTGTGCCAAATTAAAAATGTGATTTTTGTTTTCTAAGATCTTCCCAGAAGCCTAAATGAAGTGCTGACCTTTCAAACATGCGTATCACCAATTACTGTTCTGCGTGTTTTATCTCCTCCTAAATACGACTCAGAAAGTCCCTGTCCAGGTAATTTAACTCTAACTTCTTTTGTACTTGGGGTAACCACGTTCCAGACTTCTCTTCAAATCCACTGTATCTTGAAATTTGTTATCAGAGCACATGCTTGTGTTTACAGGAATTTTTTGGTATTTAAAAAATTTTTTTACTTTTTTTAAATTATTTTTTCTTTTTGGCAGTTTTTTGCCAAGGCCGGGTTTGAACTTGCCACCTCCAGTATATGAGACTAGGGCCCTACTCCTTGAACCACAGGCGCCACCCATTTTTTATTATTTTTAATCATTGAGTCTGTAAAATTTTAATTTTTTAGATTTGGATTAAAATGTTCTTGGCATAATAGGAACTCCTTTAGTTGAAAGTAAATGCAATCCAACTGAGTTTAATTCTTATATATATATATATTTTTTTTTTTTTTTTT